TTAAGTTAAGGGGGCAGCCTACCCATAAATTTCATATGGCATTCAATTGACCGTAACTTTGGTGATTCTCAATGGATTTGAGTGAAATTTTGACCACACACTCCTGCCACTATGCTGGCCCTCAGGACATGATTTACAAGTTCTTGCGCCTCACTGACAGGCTTTCCAGGCCGGAAAAACTCAAATTTCCGGCATAGTGCCACGGTGTGCGAGCCACCCAGGAGCCAAACAAATGCATTTACAATTTTTTCACATTTTCGTGCTCATTCTGTTCGTGCGCGGGACTCAAACCTAGAACAAGTCCAGAAGCAGCCATGGGTGATGGGGTAGGGCCCCTCAACGAGGCCCTGGAATCTGTCACAACGGAACGAGTTGGCGTTCTCTCACACACTCCCACAGACCCAAGTCAATTTTTGAATTTTTTTAGGTTCAGGGTGTGCTACGAGGTCGTACCTTTGATACAACATCCAGTGCTGGGACCTCCACAGCAAGCCATTTCCACAGCGCTGCACACCAAATCCAGGATACCCTCAGAAACCGGCAAAGACTACCACTCACGTTTCACTACTGCCTAGTACTGAATCCTACCTGACTTCTTGACACGACTCAAACTTGCCAAAGTCACTAAATCAATGTCAACTACAATAATCAAGCCACATATCTGCAACGTCACGAGGGTGCTGGCAAAAGTCCTGCTGCACGGCGGCGGGCTTCGCCCGCCGCCGTGCAGCCCAATACGTGGCTCAAAAACCTGATTTTTTGGACTTGGAGCAAAATTCTGCACACTTTCACGTGTTTCCATGATACGACAAATTGCGCACGGTCTGCTCACATTCAAATACAGTGCTGCCAACAAATGACAGCGTGCAACAAAAAAATCTTTCCTTGCAAGGGCACATTTTCGGCCATAACTCTTGAACGGCCGGTCAGATCGGGACACAATTTTCAGAGAATTTGCAGCTATTCATGCTCTTTGATTGATTGATTGATTGATTGATTTTTATTTCACGGATCCTCCAGAGGCAAATAGATGCCTATCGAAGGGAGTCTCCTAAGTAAGTATGTAAAATGAGAAAGTATGTTCGTAAGGGAGAAGAGGTAGAAGATACATTAGAATATAGAGTACAGAAGAAGTAAATTCAGTACTTCGGGTAGTACATTGCATGCTAATCATAATGAGAATTAGAAAAGCAGCATTGCGGACTACTATCTGACATATACACAAACTATTGAAACTATCATAGATGTGGTTAGCCTAGACACAAAAGTCAGGAATACCTTTCAAAGAAAACATAGATTGCGAATGATACCGACGAACAGCAATACTAAATTTCGCTGTTGTAGAGAGTGAACGAATATCTTCAGGAAGTTTATTCCAGGCAACACTCAAAGAAAAAAGGGTTGATTTACGAAAGAAGGTGCCAGCTTTAGGAAGAATTATGGATGAAGGGTGACGACTGCTTTGGGAAGAGGGTAGCTGGAAGTGAGACAACAAGGAGGGGTATTGGGAGAATACATGGTGGAAATAGACAAGGCCAAGAATCTGCCGTCGCCATGCTAAAGATTCCCAAGAGGACAGAACATTGAGGTCTTCTTTGGAAGTCGTCCAGTCAGGCCGACGCTTGAGTCTTTCAACTGACGTAGCACTCAATATGAATTTACAAATTCGATTTTTCAGCGAATTTTTGGGTAGTCTGCCCCCTTAAAATGCAATACAACATACACTGGAGAAGAAATCAGGAAAATAAAATATGAGCTCAAAAATGGAACGAAAAATAGCAAATAGAATCAAAACTCACGATGGAATCAAACTCACGATGGAATCAAACTCATGATGGAAACTACAACCCAATGAGTTGGAAAACCAACCACAGAATTAGATATTGGGAATAGAGTCAGACACAACAACAACCGAAATCAGTACACCAAAAATCTGTCCTACAAAAAACAAAGGAACAAGAAAAACAAGAAAGACGAAGTACAAAGAATCCCTAAAAAAGGGGGAAGAACGGGATGAAAGAGGACCGGAGAGCGGCAAACCCCAGGAGGACTTAGCGTCACGTAGTGGCGGGAATGCGGGCCTCCACAGAAACAGCATCCACATCCGCCGCCAGACCAGGTGCACAGAATGCACGTTATTATTATAATTATTATTATTATAGACAACACCTCATGGCATGAAAGAAAATCAGCCAGTACGGGAGATGTGGGTGTTAACCAACCATGGTGAATAAAAGAAGAAAAGTAATGGTCAAGACGGAGAAGCATGGGAGGGACAGGTGATGGTGAATCTAGTGAGCAGATTTAAATGCATCCAGGGTACTGGCATTGAGGGTAGTAGCGGGAAGCGCAAGCCAAGCAGAGTAGGCAACAAAGAGTGGAGAGTGTACAAGGGAGGACGTCACATAGTTTAGCCAAGGGGAGGGCAACAGAGCATCTTGTCTGGGAGCCATCTGTGATTCGGAACCAGTTATACAAGCTAAGATGAGGAGGATGTAGAGCTAGTTTAAATTTGTGATAGGGGTGAAACAATTATACCGAGTACTCGAGTCCTCGCTCGGTTTTTTCAAAAATAATCGTACTCGGAATAAATCAGAGTACTCGTTCATACATGGTACATGCATTTACTACAGAAATCTGAAGTTTCAGGGCAGCAGTCGGCAGATGGTGATGTGCAGGCTGTGTGGTGAACATTTGTTCACGAGTAGAGAGAGCCCAAATGACCCACCAACCAACATACCCGAGAAAAATGACTGCTACTCGGTTCAATCAGGGTTGTATCATGTTATTTTGATGCCCTTGGTGTGCAATTTTTAGGAGATGAAAAATACTCGAATACTCGAATATTCGATCGGAGAAAATCAGAGTACTCGAACTCGGGATCTCAGTGCCAACTTTCACCCCTAATTTGTGAGCAAAAGTGCAAATTAATTTTTGACGGTGAGTCGACAGTGGGCAAGCATTTGCAAGGACATGCAGGGAAGCAGAAGAGTAGAGAGGGGGTAGACTAAACAGGATACGAAGAAGTTTTCTATGGTGGATTTCGAGACGCTCAGCGAGAACCGAGGACAAGCCACACCAGCGAACAGCAGCGTACATGAAAAGAGGCAGGATGTACAGTTTGTAAAACAAAATTTTGCATGTGACAGGAAGATGGAAACAATGGGGACGTATAACACGGCAGAGCTTGAACGGCTGCAAAGAGCATCAATATGGTAAGACCAAGAGAGACGATCATCAAGCATTATTCCCAGGTGTTTATGGTTGGAAACAACCTTTATGGGATTGGACACATGGCCACGTAATTGTATAAAGGAAAGGAGATATAGATACGAGTTGAGAGTACCTCTCCATCACTGTAACCAGATACTATATACAGTCAGGAAGTGCAACAACTAGGCACAACACTGACAGAGTACTGAGACATTCGACGTCCTGACACCTAGCTTCAACACATCTCCGTAGCATTGTTGCACTTTCTGACTGTATATAGTATTTGGTTACAGTGATGGAGAGTTACTCTCAACTCGTATCTATATTTCCTTTTCCTTTCTACATTTATTATTGGCTCAACATCCGAGTTTCAAATAATAATAATAATAATAACTTGAATAACGACTGATAAAGACTGATATTTCCTTTGTTACTCCCTTCATTGGTTGATGTATTTTGCCTGTCGCTGCAAATTCTTTATTATTGTTTTGATGTTGGAGTTCGGATTGAGTTTCTTTCCTTTCTTCCTCTTCTTTCAACTATTTCTTGTCCCTTTGGTTTTTAGGTTTTTTTTATTTATTTTTGTTTGTTTTTTCACTTTCTTTTTGCTGTCCCACCCATGGAAATATTTCCCGGTGGGTCTGGCTTATCGCCTTCGAAAGAAGTGAATAAAGGAGAGATAATAATAATAATAATAATAATAGCTATAAAGAGAACAAATTCTGCTGTCATCGCCACACTACAACAAAGTCATGAAGGTTTACCAAAATCGATTTTCTTGTCACAATCATCAGTGGAAAGCCGTGACTGAAGAATAATCATGCCACATCAATAATTTATATACATTCAATAATGTGTTACGAGAACAAAACAAATCGGATGGTGATTGTGATCGTAAGAAGTCAGCCGTTTTTCTTCATCTGTTGTCTCACCCTAAGTGTCTGCAGGTGTATGATGATTTTAGTTTTTCTATTCTTTGTCGTGCACGGTACGCTAGTCAGTTGAAAGTACTTGAGGCTGTTTGTATTCGTTTGCATAAGCCTGATCTTTGTAAGCAGAAGAAACATGTAGTTGCGTTAAGATTGTTTTCGTAGGTGCACAGCATGATTGTTTGTCTCACTACACAGTGCTAGCGTTGCAATTAGTTCCTCACCCCTGTTGCACTTAGCTCTCACTTTACTTCTATTGTCTCACCTTCCCTCATTATATTTTTAGCACTTTGTTTTGTTCTCGTAACACATTATTGAATGTATATAAATTATTGATTTGGCATGGTTATTCTTCAGTCACGGCTTTCCACTGTTGATTGTGACAAGAAAATCGATTTTGGTAAACCTTCATGACTTTGTTGTAGTGTGGCGATGACAGCAGAATTTGTTCTCTTTATAGCTATTATAAAATTGTTGCCTCCGCGTCGATTATTTAAATAATAGTAATAATAATTTTTGTCCCACACCAAGAGCATTATACATGTATCCCTGGCTGAAGCATTATAATCAGCAATAAAATCAGCAATAAAATCAGCAATAAAATCAGCAATATAAGGCAGTTTTTTGGAGCATTATGGTTAGCATTATACGAACATTTTCGGAGCATTATCCGCTGGACCCTACCTGTCAGCTGTGTGCCTTGTCGCACCAGCTGACTGAACAATATCTCGTTACCTTGGTGGACTGTTAGTCATAGCTCGTAACTTATTATTAACTTAAAAAGTTGATCTAGATATCTGTGCTCAACTATTTCCCGAACGCGAGATGAAGTATGAATCAGGCTTTACTCGTACTTACGGATTTCGCACACGACGTGTTGACGGTTTCTTGTGGAACTGATTAAAATACCAATCGGGGCCGTGACATATGCAATTTTACCGCCTGATCCCGGCAGAAGATCATCTATCCAAACTGTCAGCCCCAAAGGGATCAGATCCGATACGCAGCCAATTGAGATTGCGTGCACACTGACAAGATGACCACCCTTGGTTTGGCATAACTGTTTTGCGCCTTGAAAAGTGAACTGTTCGCCAGTCAGCGACCGTTTCAGGATGGTTGACCTTGCAGCGCAGTACTTGTAGCCAGTAAGACTTGCACGAGCTGTAAAAATGGAATAGAAATAACCGAGATGTATTAGCCACCAACTACAGGTATGTTGTTTCAAAGTCAGAACCGTCGTCATTTGAAAAGAAAACAGCACGCCGGATACGCGGAAGAAGTTTTACTTGCAATGGATTAAGCTAAAAAACGTAGAAGTGTCTACGGGAGGTATATTGGTGAAAGCGACGAACGAAGAAACAATAAACATGTGGTGCGCAATTGAGGTACAGTATTCAGAATCCCATGAAACACTCGTCTGCTCATGATCATCACGATGCATATGTGCTGCAGGCAGCTGCCACCCTGAAACCCTATGCGATAGTTCGCTAGACCTTCTAAACGTGTGGGTGCGACAACGTTTGAAGACGAGCACACTCACTGTAGCTTGCGTGTTGTTTTGCAATCGTGGAAGAAATTAAAGCGACCAGCAGGATGGCGGTTATCAGCACAATTGATACCTGGAGTACAGAAGGAAAGTGAGAAGAATAGCCATCATACATCTAGTGCAATAACATGCCGTTCTCTGGCCTATCCCTAGCCTAGTTATATAGGCTTTGAGGCAGGCAGCAATGACATCTGGATCGACGACAACCGGCATCATGACCATCAGGCATCAAAAGGTTCTCAACTGTTACTTGACACCATCACAACTGAACGCCTTCATAACGCTGCTGATACAAACACTAAATTGACGAAACCAAAACTTACGGCGTTCGGACGAGACATGTTGATGTTGATAAGGATTAAACTTCACTACACTGACCTGACTCACTAACACGATCTTGGAAAGATATTAGTAGTATAGTCAAGTTTTTTCTTCAGACTTTTCCCGTTTGTGTCTTTCCCTCCAACTAGAGAAGTATAGTGTCAACAATACATTACACGGGGTTATGTACACTTGTTATGTACTCTTGATAGTATTTATTCATATTTCTCTAGGGCATTCCCCACAGACCTATGACAGAAGACGGTGCAGCCGCATGGTCAGCCTTTGGGTCATCCTAATAAAGTTGTTATTAGTATTATTATTATGTACGCAGGAGTCAAAAACAGCGCAGCAGCGTGTAGCACGGCTCAGCAGCATGTACAACAAAGAGACACAATAGCAGCAGCATGTACAACAAAGAGACACAAAAGCAGCAGCATGTACGACAAAGAGCTAAGAAGTACACGCGAAAAAGTTGATCTGAGCTCAACTATTTCGCGTACGGGAAACCCATCGCGCTACGGTCGCGCGATGGGTTTCCCGTACGCGAGATGAAGTATGAATCATACACCGCTAACTTAGGGAAATTAGCAGTAGTTGAGGAAGAAGCCATTAGGAGGTAACACCCGGCGAATATGGAGAGGTGTAAAAACTTCGGCTTCGCCTTGGTTTTCATCCGGGTGTTTATAGTAGTAGTAGTAGTAGTAGTAGTAGTAGTAGTAGTAGTAGTAGTAGTAGTAGTAGTAGTAGTAGTAGTAGTAGTAGTAGTAGTAGTAGTAGTAGTAGTAGTAGTCACATCCTTTATTGCTGAACCCACAAATAATTGTGATACAAATTGTAAACCATCCGAGGAAGAAGAGAAAACCATTAAAAATTAAACAAAAAAGGTCATTGTACCATGCCAAACGGCTATTATTAAGTCATGTACCAATTGTAATACATGACGTAGTATAGTAGTCAAGCACCTACAAAATACTTTGCAGGATAATATTTTAATTGCCTAGCATGCCTACAAATCCGCAGAGCATGCCAATGTTAAATAGGCCAACATATGAATACCGAAGGCGGTTACATGGACAGAAGGCGACATTGGTCGAGAAAAGATGGGCCTATTCTCTTCCTCAAGTAAGACGCTCTGCAACCACGGAGGCACGTGATTGACCACCTCAGCAAAACAAATGCAATTTTGCAGCGTAGCTGTGCCATCACAACAGCGTACTGGAGGTCACTATGCTTGTTAACCACCAGCTAAACAATGTTCTTCAATGCACGAGAGCACTCCGTGCCACATACGCCGTTTGTCGAAAATACGAGCGGAGTGAATGACCCCCTCTCGACATCGACAACACGCTGAAGATAGGCCCGCTTCTTCTGATGTTCATTCCGGGAAATCTGTGCAAGGACTTCCTGTCGAGACAGCAAAGACGCCGAGGGGTGAGTAACCCTCACATCAAAAAATGCATCTTGCTGTGGCGACCAAAAGCCCCTTGCACGGATATCCAATCGAGCCTCTGCAGCACGATTAGCGGTAGCGCCGTGAAGTTGTTCACCATCCAACGGCAAAAGCGGTGGCTCTGTTTGAACATCCGGGATGGCAGAAGTCATCACCTCCACCAGCACATCGCGAAGCTCATTGTGTCGCAGACTTGGGTAGCCCCCTGTAGGGCATGTCAATGCATGGTCGACAGACATGTCTCTACCACACACACAAGTTGGTGGGAGGCCATCAATAGGGAGGTTTAGTTCTCACGTAACGGAAACGCGTACGTGGGTGATCCACGTAAAGTGGATGAAGGGCACCTACGTTGCAATGTTGTGTTTAGTCACACGGAACAAACAAAAGCATGAAGCGAAAGGCCCAAACCTGGTCAAAGACAAAGCTACCCGGGCCTAAGAAGCTCATCCAATATTTTGATTTCGTGCTTCGGAAACTTCTTCAGCTGAGCACCCTCACAGCTCGTACAATGCGCTCCATTCTGATTTTCACCCACGTTCTGGCGGAACGTGGGTGAGCCTCCATACACGGTATGTCGTGAACTAGAAAACGTCTGTACGTGGGTCACTGAGTATCACGTGGTACACACACGTAAAGTACCCACGGATTACGTGGGACTAAACCTCCCTAATACCCCAGCCATAGCGCAGGGCGAGACCATCCCGGAAACATGCTTTATTTAGCGCAAAGCCATTCACAGCCAGAGGCTCAGCCGTTAGCCAACTGGACACGCCAGCATCAGCAGCAATCTCCAACAGCACTCGCTGACATGGGCTGAGCTCAGGACGCAAAGCAACCTGAGCCTCCTTAGCCGCAGTAGCCATTCTCCGACGTTCGGCATTTCGCAACGCCATTACCTCCGCCTGCAAATCAGCCGGAGCAATGTCAGCATCAGGGCGACGAAGCAAATCAATCACCTGCCGTGCCGAGGCCATACTGGAGGTCCAGTAGTAGTAGTAGTAGTAGTAGTAGTAGTAGTAGTAGTAGTAGTAGTAGCAGTAGTAGTAGTAGTAGTAGTAGTAGTAGTAGTAGTAGTAGTAGTAGTAGTAGTAGTAGTAGTAGTAGTAGTAGTAGTAGTAGTAGTAGTAACAAGGCCTCTTTTACGGGCAAATGACGCATATGCGTAAACCAAAAGCAACAAGAACCTCAATAAACAATGTCCAACAAAAGAATCTGCAGACTGCAAAAAAGGACAGAAGGTAAAACTCAAGTCCAATAGATCGCGTATGGTACGTATGTGTGAACAAACCAAAAGCCGATTGAGTGGTGAATGTGGAATGTGTAAGTTGAAAACTCGAGTCTGATAAATAGCCTATTGGGGGTATATGTGTAAAAACATCATAAACCAATAGGGTGGTGGATGTATAATTTGTCTGCGTGTGAATGCTTATTTCGATCTGTCCGATAAACAAAACAAAACAAACTATTATAAAAGTAGAAACAAAAAAAAACAAAAAAAACAATGCAAAGACATGCTCAAAAACAGATATGTCTGTTACGTCACAACATCCGTATAGGATTGGCCACACAGCCCCATGGCACTACCGGAGCAGCCTGCACTCCGTGACAAACGAATTGCCACGGCGTACGCCCCGAGCTCCCCGGCATCCACGCAGACAGGTTACGGCCCAGCGGAGGAGGCAGAAGGCAATCTTGGCACGAAGATGGTGCATGACGACGGAGTACTGTAGGTCAGAGTGCTTCTCCACCACGCGCTGAACAAGCCGCTTCAGGAACATTCCACACTCTGCAGCAGCCATGCCATTCGTAGCAAACACCAACGGAGTGAAGGCACCTCGCTCGACGTCCGTGATCCTCTGGCAGTATTTCCGCTTCTTCTCCAACTCGTTGGCGCGCAGTTGGCCAAGGGCTTCGGAACGCGACAGCAGGGACGCTTTAGGGTGGGTGACCCTGACATCAAAGAAAGCGTCCTGCTGCCTTGTCCAGAAACCCCCGGCCCTGATGTCCAAACGAGCTTCAGCGCTGCGATTGGCGGTCCGGCCGGCGAGCACCTCGCCATCGAGAGGGAGCAGTCTAGGCTCGACCTCCACGTCTGGCACGACATCGCCAAGGACAGCCGCCAGGGTGTCCCGGATTTCGTCATGACGTGCCATCGGGTACCCCCCATGTGGACACGTCATCGAGTGGTGTAGGGTGGTGTCCGCTCCACAAGCGCATTTGCACGGGACATCCAGTGGCAGGTACCCATAGCGTATGCACACCGCATCTCGAAAGTCGGACTTATTCAGGATTGTCCGGTGCGCAGTAAGCGGGGCACATGTCAGCCATGACGACACGCCCTTCTCACCGGCGATATCTGTGAGGCATTTCTGAGGCGGGGGCAGATCGGGATACAACGCCGCGACTAGTGCCTTCTGCGACTTCTCCTTAGTAGTAGTAGTAGTAGTAGTAGTAGTAGTAGTAGTAGTAGTAGTAGTAGTAGTAGTAGTAGTAGTAGTAGTAGTAGTAGTAGTAGTAGTAGTAGTAGTAGTAGTAGTAGTAGTAGTAGTAGTAGTAGTTTATTTATTTATTTATTGCAACATCTCAAGACTCGGCGGAAACACCGGCCAATATTACGAGAGTGGGTGATTGCCATCCACGGCGATAAATATAAAGAAGGGGAGGGAAAAAGAAAGAGTAGCAAAACGAACAGCAACAACAACTCCGTAAAGAAAGATAATGTCAAATAAAAACAGTGAAAAACACAGAGACGCAAAGGACATGTGGATAATGAGCTATGCATGTCGTAGTAAATAATGGGCGGCACGGATCTTAAACAGGCGGAGTGAGGTCAGGTCCTTAACTTCTCTGGGTAGAGTGAGCCAAACAGAATAAGCAATAAAGAGAGGGGAGCGCAAAAGAGTGGATGAGTTACACTTAGGGAGTAAGAGTGAGTTTCTAGTTCTTAGAGAAGAGAACCAATTAAAACACATGAGATGAGGTGGGCACAACTCAAGCTTAATAGAATGGACAAGAGAAGCCAGGTGTGCACTGCGTCCATGTGATAACGGGGTTGTGTGAGCGATTTTATAAAGGGCAGATGATGAGAGCATGCGGGGTTGACGGAGGAGAATTTTAAGGATTTTCTTGTGATGTATTTCAAGCTTTGCAGCAGCGGAAGAGGATAACCCAACCCAAGACGTATCTGCATAATGAAATATTGGGCGAAGGTAGGCGAAATAAAAAAGAAGCTTGCAAGAAAGTGGGAGGTAGGAGCAGTGGGGGGAGAGAATTCCTAAGGATTTACTTGATTTTTTACAGATATATTCGATGTGAGGTACCCAAGAGAGTGCAGAGTCAATCACAACGCCAAGGTGTTTGTGAGAAGACACTATGTCAATTGGATTTGGAAAGTTGGCATGGATGAGGGTTGTGAACTCCGGTTGGGGCGGGAAGAGCATGATCTTTGTTTTTGATAGATTTGGGGACAACCTCCAGGACGACATCCAGGAAAGAACTTCCTGAATGCCAGCACGCAAGTTGTTTTTCAGGCCAGTGAGGGAAGCTGATGAGGTGAGAAGGGTCGTGTCGTCAGCAAACAGAGACGTTCCAGGGAAGACTGCAGGTAAGTCGTTTACGTAAATTATAAATAGTAGGGGACCAAGAATTGATCCTTGAGGAACGCCCGACAATACTGGCTCTGCAGCCGAGGATGTGCCAAGCACAGTTACGTACTG